AATTCATCTAATCATCACGACATCCTTCCTATTAAAATCTTAACCTTGAATTCATAATTCTAATTCAAGGTAGAGTTAAGAGTTAAGTCTAGAGAGTTCTTCGATTCTTTTCAAAAAGTCTTTTACAATCGTTTTAAACTTGTTTTAAGACTTAAACATTGAGTTTGAGGAAGAACAGAGTTGCGTTCATTTTCTTTAAAATAATATATAGGAACTAAGTATTCCCAAGAATAAATGTTTTAACATTTAAGATGAGAGGAAACACCGATTTCCAAAAGAGTTTTCATGAGCAGGTTTAGTACCATCTCTTTTAAGAGAATGATTTTTGAGTAATAATCTCAAACCACAGAAAGAGTTATGTTTTTAAACATATGAGATAGTTACATTTTAGGAGTAGTATTGAGCACCGATATAGGGACGAGTTCAGATAACTCAAAGTCTCCATAAACCATGTAGCCAACGTGGGTAGAAAGGGTCATACTTTTTATATGATTACTAAATGCTTTTTAGCATAGAGTAGTAGATCCAGTTAGTAGTAGGTTATATACCCCGGTAAAGTATAAGACAGTTCTGACAGCATGGGCTAGACGTTGTATCATCACATAACCCATAGTGCTGGTTGTCGGTTAGAGAATCTTCCACGGGCTTATTTTGTATCTTTATATATACTAACAAAGTTTATATTGTATTTTCTAATAAATTGAGTTGTTATCTACTGATAAAGCTTTTCTTTATACTGCATCTTTATTATTGCTTTATATTGAAATAAGTTGAGTAGAGTTGAGACAAAGTAAGTGTTTCTTTCAGTTCCAGTTCAAGCTTAACATGCTCGTACATTCCATGTACTAATGTCATTTGGCCTGCATCTTTCATGATACAGATACAGGTAACCAGGATCAGCCTCTAGCGCTTCGTTGATCTAGTCGAGTTCAAGAGTCATTGCTGAGCCTCCTTGCTTTTCGGAGCCAAATTAGGGGAAGTTTGAGTACCTCGAGGGCATGGGTCGTATGGGTTTGCCTTTAATTGAATAGAGTTTGTGTTTGATTTTGAATTCAGGGGCTGCGGGTTTGATTTTGAAGCTTGGTGTTGAAAACTTGCACGTTGGGCAGTTTGACGAGCTATGTCGAGCTCACCGAGTGGTTCGGTGATTCGCCAAAGTCCCCCTCATATTGCTCTTAATTTCAAATTGTAGTTGAGTTTGTTCTATAACTTTCAGTGAGATGCATGAGCTCGCCGAGTTCACTCGGAGACTCGCCGAAAGGTATTCTTAATCGCCCATTCTGCACCCCTAACCCTTAAAATGCACTGTAAATTTCTGTGGGCTACTCCTAGTCGCCGATTAGTGTCGGCGATTAACTAAATGGCCCTGAACATCGTCGACCTCTCTTGATTCTTAAAAATTTTCTCACTAGTACTTTCAGCGAGCCCGATTTGCCTTGCCTAAGTGACTCGGCGACTCGCCAACTGGTTTGGCAAGTCTTTCTGCAACTAATTGTCTGCACCTTTCTTGAATTATTTCTAACATGTTTATATTTGTTTTACATAAATGGATAGACCCAAAGTGTCAGGAAGAGACATGCTGCCGCACAAGCGGGCAAGTGTAATTGTGATAAATGCGGATGCAATTGCATCCAAGGTAAAGGCATCTAAGCTCTCTACAAAGGGAGGGAAAGGCAAAGGAAAGGGAAAGGCGCCCATGGTAGAGTTACCGGAGGTCAGCTTCGACAGTGAGAGAGTCTATGAGACTCACCTCACCTCATCAAACAATGAGGGAGATTCCCTGGAATTTCAGGCCTCCATCTCTGGGCCTGAGGATGACCAACTTCTACATGCCCGTATAGCAGAGCTTCATTCCAAGGGGATGCATGACCTATCTAGGATTTGGATGCCTCAAACTCCGCCTCCTCCCCCAACTTCAGCTCAGACTGTGGTCCCAACACCACCTGTACAGGGTCCTTCTCCCCGGTCTCTCAACAGACCAAAGGCTGAGGGACTGAGGACTATCATGTCCAGAACGTGAGGATGCTGAAAGGAAGCACGAAACGACGATGAAACAGAAGAAGGGCGGGTCGCAGAGTCATTCGGCGACATCGACTAACCTCGTCGAAAGATCCGCCAGCACTATTTTCTAAAGTCTATAAATACTGAACTTATTATTAATTTTAGAAGAGTCGGACTTTTATTTTAATTTCATAATAGAATAGTACTTTTTGGATATTTTTCTCTCAAGTTTGGAGAGGGTTTGTGGGAGACTTGAAGAAAGAAGGATTACATCTTCCCCGAGTTGGAAGTGGGTCTTCTCCATTCTTCTTCCTTTTCTTAAATCAAGGTTTAATTTCTTATACACATTTGATTTTACTAACATTTTAGGTGTATTTTGTTATTTCTTGATGTGTGGCTAAAAACCCCCATTCTTGGGGTGTGATTTAACAAATATGTGTTGATATTATTGTTGGGTCTTACTTGCTGATAGGTTAGATGTAGTTTAATAGTGATTTCACCTAGTGGTTGTGGTTTAATCTAAAGGGTTTGTAGTTGCAAATACAAAGTCACCCATGTGTTTCCGGCTTGCCCGAGAGGGAGGCCGCGAAACCAAGACCACTAGACTGATGGCCTAAGGAGTGGGTCAACATGAGGTTCAGCCCGAGAGGGTGAGCCCTAGTCCCATATCCTAACACTCAGCTCGAGAGAGTGAGTGGGGTAAGGCGTAGGCTAGTCTTCATGTGGCAAATGGGTATCCGAGAGGAACACACCCATTTGCCACGAGATAAGTTGCCCGAGAGGGAACTTATTTCCATTTAAAGCTTAGTCTAGTCACTATTATCTTACAAATTTCCTTCCAAAAGCATGTACCCAACAACTTATCTCAACTTGTATTGCGGTCACACCTCAAGAACATTTCCCCATACTTGATTTTCTTGTTAATTTTTGCTATTTTTACTACTTGTGACAAAAACCCCAAATTGATATTTGATACTTTCGTGTCACCCCCTTTAATTTACCATGTTTTTGTTCGTTAATGTCTTTAGTTATGACTAGTTAGAGCTTAATTTTATTTTTCTACCAATTCTCAAAATCACTTCCTTGGGACACGACCCAACCTTTAGTTGGGTTACTATACTATCGACGATCATAGACACTCATACCATAGGTTAGTGTTGTTGGTCACGATAAGCATGCACTATATAAAAATTTGTATATTTTTTGATTCGGATTTATTCTTTGAATTCGGATGTTAACAAGCTAGATTTAAGATGACCGCGTGGAATACCGCCCGTCTTCTGAGATCCTGTTTAGTTGATATCAGAGCCTAGGAACTTTCATGGTACATATGAGATTGATGTGAAGTATACGACATATATATTTTCTTCTTTTCATGGATCTTGGAGAAACGAGTACTAAGAGTACTAGATTGGAAGAGGTAAATATACCTCAAAATCTTGATTTGTTAAACAAATGGTCTATTCCAAAGATTAATATTAAAACCATTTATGATTATGATTGGTTTGATAAAATATCTAATAAATAGTTAATTAAAACTACGGAACAATATTTGGCGTTAAATTCGTCAGAACAGACTATTCGTTTGTTAAATAAAACAGATATATTGAAATATATAAACTCCAGTATAATTTCTTGCATATTGGCATAATTCAAATTGTTTTTAAGCTGCTAACCCTTAAAGGGTTACCAGAGACTTTTCTAGCTGCTTTACGTGATGCTAGAAATTTCAAATTTAGACAATCTTTGATGGGTTCGATTGAATCTACTTTGGCCTATGGTCCAGTCTACTTTAATACTCAGCCTTATTTACAGTTATCTTTAACTGATGCTAATATTTTTGATGCTTTAACTTTAAATGTTAAAACGCATGGTTATAATTATGCACTTGGATCTTAATTAATTTGCTTATCTTATAGAATCTATTTCAAATTACTTTCTACGTTAAACACGAGATGCAAGTTATATGATACATCTGCTGAAACTGTTTTAGTAGAAACTAATTTTGCTAGATCTAAAGTCACTACTAGGCGACCTATAAAATGGGAAGAAATTAATTTTCCAACTACTTGGACTTTGGAGTCGGTTATCCATCCAAACTAGATGACGGATGCAGTCACTAATTCTGAGTATTCTCATATCACTCAAAATCCTGATGGTAGGATTTGTATGCAATTTAATGATATCCCTTTTAGTAGACATTCATTTTCTTCTGCTAGAAGATTGTCTGCTATGCATCATATTTCCCCATTGATCATGTGTACGGCCCGACTCGTAACCGTGTTGTTTCTCTACATACTATACCTTCGATTATATCTGTGGATCAAAGTGATAGGTTTGTTAATAAAATCAAAATTAATCCTCGTTTAAATATTGTTCATACAAATGATATTGCTTCTAATATTTCTGATAAGGATATTCCTTCTCAGCCCGAAATGGATTTTGATCTTAACAATACTTGATGATGGATGTACACCAAATAGATTTTAGCCCAGGTTCTGTGACCAGAAAGTACATTCAGAATGAATGTTTAAGTGATAAATGGAATCAGTTTAAAACTTGGTTTTTGGCACTTATAGTGCCGATGACTTAAACAATATTTCTCAAGAGTTTTATGGAACTTGTGATTTACATAATCAAATTATGTATTTTGTTCTATGATTTATAACCACTTATTTACCTTTATTCATCAACGTTCTTGAACGATCTTATAAAGATGGAACTGGTAATATTATCAAGGTTGATTACCCACCTAAATCACCTTTTGTTTTACCTAATAATACGGGTATAACATTTACCGCCTTTCAAAAATTTGTTGAAGAAGATGTTGCGGCAGTCAGCATTAACAAAATTAATAATTTGATTTCTCAAAATAATTATTTGGGACTTTACGTTAAAGTTTTGGGTGAACATATTGGTTCTCTAGATAAAAAAATTAGATGAATTAACTGCTTTGATAATACAAATAAAAAATGATGTACAGACTTTTAATAAATCTATTAGATGTACCATTTTTTTGTAAATCTATTAGATTTACGATGAGCTCTTTCCTCTTCTCGTTCTTCTCTAGACCTTCGCCTAGACTTTTTCTTCCTATAAGGTTTATCAGGAGTGGAACCACTAGAATCTCTGTGTTTAGCCTGCTTACCTTTAGCTGAATCAGGTAATCCAAACTGGGTACAGAAGTCTCCTAGATGAGATCTTTCTCTAAGCTTATCAATCTTAAGCTGTCTAGATAGCTTCAATTCGTTGCACAGGTTTATGCCTTCTTGAGTGCAGGCTCCTATCAACTTAACATAAGTATAGGATCTATACGAAATAACCCCTTGTGTATCCCTCAGGGTTTTCCTAACTCTTTCCGCAAATAAAGGAGGAATGTCGTCTATAAACTTAGCTTTCCAATACTCAAGACCATTTTCGGGTAGTTCCATCACCCGAATCATATAAGTATCTTTATACCATCGAAATTTTCCTAAATGTCGACATCGTAGACCATTTAATAAGGAGAGAACCGTCGTGTATTGATTGGTAAATCTATTGAAATGTTCTAAGATGGTCAAAACTAAGGTATAAACAGTATCTTCCCTATTTCTGACTAAAGTCATGCCCAAGTTATAAACACCTTCGTTATCTGTAGTAGCATTTACCACAGCAGCTTTCGCTTCTACACTCATATAATTATCCCACCAACCTCGGAGTTGGCCAGTAAAACCTGTAATTATCATTTTGCAAATATTTATATATGTATTTTTCACATTTTTACAGATAGTAGCATACATAAGCATACGATGAACAAGAATAGTCAACTGTCTATCAATCAGTCCATCAAGATTTCATTCATAAATCTCAGATCCACTATACGAGGTATTGGTCTGATTCCAGTCATGTTCCTCTATAAGCACTTCTTGAGGAGTTGGTCTGGCATAATAATAAGTTTGCATGCTGGGCTTATGAGCAAACTGAGTAGTATTACCAGTATTCTTCTTTGGATAACCACGAAGTTTATTAAATTCTAAAGCGACATGCTCTTTATAATCAAAATCTTGTTCTAATTCATTCGAAAAAGTTTCAGACAGATCCATAGGTTAAGCACTGAATTAAGAAAACTTTTTATCAAGAAGTTCTTCTAAATCAAAAAGAGATTTAAAAACAAAATCCTAAATCTCAGGCGGTCGTTAGACATGAGTAGAAAGCTCTGAAATTTGTTTTGAAGTAGAAGCTTACTCAGGAGGTTTTCAATCTGTTTTTTTCTAAAATTATCAAAGTAGTTAGTTCATCTAATTTTTTATCAAGAGAACTGATATGTTCACCCAAAACATTAACATAAAGTCCTAAATAATTATTTTGAGAAATCAAATTATTAATTTCATTGATGTTGACTGCTCCAACATCTTCTTCAACAAATTTTTGAAAGGCAGTAAAAGTAATACCAGTATTATTTGGTAAAATAAAAGATGCCTGGGGAGGATAAATTGCTTTGATAATATTCTCAGATTCATCTTTATAAGATCGTTCAAGAACATTAATATATAAAGGCAAATAGGTGGTTATAAACCAGGGTACAAAGAACATAATATGATTATGCAAAGCACACATTTCATAAAATTCTTGAGAAATATTATTCAGGTCGTCAGCACTATAAGTGTCAAAAACCCAAGTTTTAAACCAGTTCCATTTATCACTAGAAAATTCATTTCGAATATACTTTCGTGCTAGAGAACCTGGGCTGAAATCAATTTGGTGTACATTCATCATTAAGTATCATTGGGGTTAAAATCCATTTCGGATGCAGAAGGAACATCCTTATCAGAAATATCAGATGATTTATCATTAGCTCGAACAATATTCAAGCGAGGATCAATTTTTATCTTATTTTTATCAGAAATAACAAAAGATAAAGTATGCAAAGAAGCAACACGATTACGAGCTGGACCATATAATGGTTCAATCGGCGAAATATGCTGAATAGTCAGAGATCTTCTATCCGAAAATGAATGTCTATTATAAGGAACACTTTTTTCATCAAACTGAATGCAAATCTTACCGTAAGAAATCTGCGTAATATGAGAATATTCTGAATTAGTGATAGCATCAGTCATTTGTTCAGGAGGTATAACAGAATCCAAAGTCCAAGTAGTAGGAAAATTAATTTCTTCCCATTTAATAGGTCTTCTAGTAGTGACCTTAGACTTAGCAAAATTGGTTTCTACTAAAATAGTTTGGTCAGATGAATCATATAACTTACATCTTGGATTTAAAGTAGCAAGCAATTTAAAATAGATTCTATAAGATAAACAAATCAATTCAGATCCAGGTGCATAATTATAACCATGCGTTTTAACATTTAAAGTTAAAGCATCTAAAATATTAGAATCAGTCAAAGATAACTGTAAATTAGGCTGAGTATTAAAATAGACTGGACCATAGGCCATAGTAGATTCAATCGAACCCATCAAAGATTGTCAAAAATTTAAATTTCTTGCATCTCGTAAAGCAGCCAAGAAAGTCTCAGGTAACCCTTTAAGAGTTAAAGGCTTAAAAGCGATTTGAACCATGCCAATATGGAAGAACTTATACTAAGATTTATATAAATCAATATCGCGCTTATTTAATAAACGAGCCAAAGATTACTCAGTTGTTTTAATCAACTGTTTATGAGAGATTTTATCAAACCAACCATAATCATAAATGGTTTTAATAGCTATTTTCAGAATAGTCCATTTGTTTAACAAATCAAGGTTTTGAGGTATATCTACATCTTCCAATTGAGTACTTTTAGTACTAGTATCTCCTAGATCCATGATCAAGAGAATATATCTATGCCGAAATACTTCACATCAATCTCATATTTACCATGAAAGTTCCAAGGCTCTGATACCAACAAAACCAAAATCTCAGAAAACGGGCAGTAGTTCGCGCGGTCATCTTCAATCTAGCTAGTTAACATCTGAATTCAAGGAATAAATCCGAATCAAAATATATACAAATTTTTATATAGTTTGATGACTGTATGGAAGGATCTGATCTTTTTACCCAAGCAAAGGGTCTGTCGAGATTCAAATACGTATTGTTAGTGAGCCTATGTGTCTAGCAGTTCTAATCGGGTATAAGGCGCCCTTTTTTTCTCCTTATTGGGCTAAGACCATAGCTGGCTAGACAAAGCCACTTTGTTGTACTGAATCTGACTATACCACTATCTCGAAACCAAGTCAAGAAACCATATATAAATTTATGCATATTTAGATAAAGTCTAGATCTTTCATGATAGATATAAAAGTGAAGTTAGTTATCCGACATAGATATAATTCTTTAGTCGGACATAGTCACGGCTCAGATCGGAGAAGTAGAGAAAGTAAAAGAAAGGAAGAATTAAAGTACCTTGTGGCTAACACCAGAGCTTATAATAGACCAACACACTTTATTCCACAACTCCGGTAGTATCTGGCAAATTCACAAATTAGTAAGAGAGAGAATACAAAAGGAAGAGAGGGTTTCTGAACCTGCTCTCAATAACTAAAACTAAACTTATTTATAGAAGAAAAAGGAATTTAGGAATAGTAAAAATAGGTCCCTTATCAGTAGGTCCCAAGAACAACATATTTACTGTTAATCAACAGTGTTTCTATTATTGATAGTGACTTAAAGATAACCTTATCTTATCTTTACATCTTATCCTTCTCTTTCAATTCTCTAAGGAAATCTTCTGCTTTGGACAACATATCTTCTGACATGGTTTTCTCCGGTTCACAAGGATGGGCCTCTTGAGCATCATCTGCGATATCATCACTCGTTTCACTCCTCATTGAGGTGTCTGACTTTTCATAGTGAGTGATATTGAGGAGTAGTTTCCTCCTGATTTCATCCAAATACTCCTTTATCATTTCTTCTTTATTTCCATCTTGAATGGAAATTCTCCTGGCAATATGCTTGATGGAGTTGTCAGCAACTATTCCTTTGTGAGGAGTAGTACCATAATCTTGGAATTTTTTGAGAAATAGAGTCCAACAATTCTTGGCCCTATAAAGATTTAGTCGTGGGATCCTTCTTCATTAATTTATCCCAGAAATTTATTATAGTAAGTCTGATATAAACACTGAATTTTTTCTTCGGTAAAACCTACTTCCAGGGTCCATTTATGGATCCATGAAATCGAGAACTCTATGAAGAAATAAATTTGTTCAATTTGTTCCATATAACAAATATGATATGAGTGGTATAAATCATTAAGGTCTGGTGAAACCTTAACCCAGTTTTTGTATAATTTTAAAAAAGGATCAAGCAAAATCTTTGCCGTCGGACCGTGGTATGACCACCAGTTCAAGAACCAATTAGAGATCGGGTCAGCAAATATCTTTGCACAAACCTTAATGAACCAAGTATGTTTATGCCTCTCATTGTTATAATAGAGGACTTTACTGAAAGCGTTAATATAATCCCAATAAGTGAAACTAGTAGGGACTTTGTTCAGGCTGATCTGCCTTTCTTTCATCGAGGATATACCCCAATCTTTGATTGATAAAATTTGTTTTATGATGATTTTGGAGAAGTTATAAACGTTCTCGCTGGTGTTATAACCTGAGAAGTGCTGAAATTCAACACTACCCGTATTTATCAAGATGGTCTCGTAATACGAGCGGGTTTTGTATGACTCACCCGGGAAGTATAATCCGTTAAGTAAATATCACTGGAATATTTTCCAGGGTTCTTCTTTCCTCTGAATCTCAGAGTTTTCGAGAAGAAATATCATTTCTTTCTTTGATACCCTTTCATATGATCTGATATCATCAATATCGTCTTTAGCAATAAAGGCAAAAGTATCACTTTGCTTCTGAGACAAATATGCCCCTAGCTCCGCATATAATGGGCTAATTTCTGGAATATCTTCCAGTCTGATGGATGATGATGATGCCTGAGGTATTTTTGAGCTTATCAAGCTCATTCCTCCTCGCTGTAGAACTGGCGAGTTGGATGAGGATCCATATGACGATCATGAAGATGTTCCTGGAGATGATCTTCCCCGTCCACGTCTGCGTAGGTTATTTCCCTTGCCTCGTCCTTTGGTGACCCAAGGAGGGTCCATTCTACAAATAAAACATTTTGTTTTATTCATCATAAAGATCATAAGCATCATAATAATTCTGATAATAATAATTCACGCCGTCAAAATCCACAACTTCTTCAATATTATGAATGGTGAATATATCCATCACCATGCCATTTATAATCTTCCATAGGATAAGTTCTTGTACATCTCGGTTGAGCGAAACTACTTTCAATATTGTAACTAGAGTTTTATCAGTGAAGAAAGGGTTAAAAAACTCATTGTTTAAGAAGATAGATATTCTCTTAATAAGAAATCTGGAAAAGAGTTATCACTTCCCTTTTTATAATGAATTTCGAAATCAAATGGGGCTAATTGTGCCTGCCACCTGGCGAATATCAACTTAGAAGCATCATGTTTCAAATCTTTATCAAACATATATTTTACCGATTGTGCATCAGTTTTTATTAAAAACTTTTGATTGTATAAATCATCTTGAAATTTCAATACGTGTTTAACGATAGTTAGCATTTCATGAGCTACCGTAGCATATTTTTTCTCAGCATCGCTCCATATTCCTAAATGAAATCGAATCAGATATTCATTTTTATCATGAGGATTAATTTGTTTCAACATTCCTCCATAGCCAATGTTAGACGCATCAGTCTCGATAATCTTCTACCA